GCTGCTAGCTTTAGCGCAGTAGAGTGTTAGCAATATTATCCTCTAACTCTTGGCAATAAGGCAAATAAATGTATTTCCCAAAATGTCAGACTTTTCCTTTAACTGTTAACCTTAACTTAACGATCAAGCTAATAAATCAAAACAAATATAGAGAAGAAAAGTACCGGTTTTATGGACTGCAGTGAGCTAAATATATGCCTAATATCCCCCTGCACTTCTGGCCAGATAAATTGATCCAGCCCATTGTTACTCATTGATGTTATCATAAATGAGATAAGATTTTGATACAGCAAGCTAGGATTGAATTCTGCAGACTGAGGCATTCCACATGTTGACCCTTGAGTGCTGTTTTTATGTGAGCTCCTCTGCTGGCAAAGGTCTTAGCTGAGGTACTTCATTGCTCTATCTCATTCACTTTACAAGGAGGGGGGATTAATAACCTTGACATGACAAAGTGAAAACAGCCCTCTAATGGGATTTCGGCTGTTATAGTTCCCTGGAGCAATTTCCACCACCTTTATTGGGTAGCGGCGAGCCTTCCTCTGTGTTTCTCTGACCGTTTATGTGTTTGTCTCCCTCAACCATCCAGTATCGCTATGCTAAACTGGACCTGCCATCCCAGTTTGGAGGACAGCCGTGCAATTTTCATGACAGGGAGGAGGAAGCCTGTGACGTTTCAGCCCGCTACACCTGTAACAGTGTTCCTTTGTGTGAGGGATTCCTCTGCAACCAAACAGGTATCTCCTAAACCACGCCCCATATACTCTTCTCTCTCTTAATAAGACTTTATGCTAAGCTAAGCTAATCGGCTGCTCGCTGTAACTTCACATCTGGCGTTCAGATCGAGCTCCTCGTAGCAAATTTCCAAAATGTCAAACTACTGATTTTATCCTGTTTCGTAAACCATTACTAAATGCCATCCACCTCCTTCCTCTCCTTCAGGTCGCTGTATTCCCAGGACTCTGCAGTGTAGTGGGGAGGATGACTGTGGGGACATGTCAGATGAAGCTGGCTGTAAGAACGTTCCCAAGCCCTGCAGGCAGGAGGCTGAAGAGTATTGGGGAATTGAAAACCTTGCCAAAGGGTGAGTCACGTTGCAATTAGTCTGCAATATGAGTCCCAGTTATTTTCAAGGACTTAGATACATGAACGTGTTGCTCTTCTCAAATCAATTTGGTCGCCATTAATGCTGTTGCTGTTACTTATCTTTCAGAATCAACATTTTGAACAGTAACCTGGAGGGAGTGGTGCTTGATAACAGATACTACGCTGGCAGCTGCTTGCCACACTACATCGAGGATGTCAGATTCAGGAAGCCTTACAATTTGCAACAGTACACTCTGCAGGTGCATAATGAGCATTGAGTTTTAGTTGATAAACAAGATTAGGATTTTTGTCTACGCCACTTTAATATGTCACACTTTGTAAGGGGTCAGTAAGTAACTGTGCGGTAACTAATGTCTTTAGTAATTAATTATCACTTACTTAAAAAATAACTTTATGAATGAATTATAAGCCATTAATAAGAACAATTTCTAGGCTGACAAATTGTTGAAAATCTCTTTGACTGTTTGGAACATATCCTGAAGAGGAACTGGATCAAAATCAATGAATGAACAATTTATTAAGCATTTATTGAAGGTGACTTATCATGAAAAACTATTTTGTCAGTGCTCGTGCACACTCAATTGGATATCTGGAGTGCCTACCAGCCGTAAGACAAACCTGTCCGTTTTTTGTGGGCTGCCTTGATCAGAAAACATGTGATTCAACAATATTTGGCTCCCCTTCCTGCATGTACATGCAGCTTCATGTGACACAGGGAGAGAGAACTACAGCGAGAGAGAACTATACCTTTGCAAAGGTGCACCAGATTTTTCTTGCAAGCCAATCAGAGCAGACTGGACTTTTTCCGGAGGGGGGCTTAAAGAGACAGTCGCTAAAACGCAACGTAGAAAGGCAAGACACCCTCCAACCTAAGGAGTTACAATTTGTTCTTATTAATTGTTTATAACTGCTCTATAAAACATTAGTAAATTAGTTGTTAACATTACAAATGCTATTAATGGGAACCTATAAGCCCTTTATAAAGGGTGCCTCATTAGAAAGTGGAGCCAAATTTTCTTTGTGTTGGTAGCATCAGCTGTAACAATCGTGGATGATGTTATTCAGCTTTCCTCTCATTCTTTTATCTGTTATTCAATGTTGACAGTAAATTAATTACTTACTAATATGGTCTTGCTTAGTACATACTAAAAAGGAAATTTTGCTTCCCATGTATTTACAGACAAAAGGCTCGTATGATTTCACCCTGCAGTCTTTTGAGTCATACTCTGAATACATGGATCACACCATAAAGGAGCGCGAAACCCAAACCACTGTTTCCATTGGCTTTTCCTTTCCAGGCATAGCTGAATTTGGCTTTAACTACAATAATGTCAAATACACCAAGGCCGAACAGAAGATTCGCCGTGCTTCTAGCAAGGTGAGATGTCTTTTCTCCTGACCTCTCTACAACCTACTGATTTCTCAAAAACAAAACAGATGGATTCATGATTTATACGAACACACAATTATTCAAAATACCTGCAAACTTAACCTGAAAACGGTGATCCATCACCTGCCTCCCACTGATTATCCTCTCAGACGAACAGCTTTGTGAGGGCCAAAGCAGAACTGGAGTTGGCCCAGTACATGTTAAAGCCCGATGATTTGATGCTTCACCCTGAGTTCCTGCAGCGCCTGCGCTCCTTGCCACAGTCTTATGTTTATGGGGAATACAGACAGATCTTCAGGGACTACGGCACCCACTACACCACAGAAGCAACCCTCGGAGGAGACTATGAGTACACCATCATCCTGAACAAGGAGAAGCTCGAGAAGACAGGTAATAAATATCGCGGCTGCCGAACCGGAGTCACGGGGGTCTCAAGTCAAATCCAGTTTGGTTTAATTGCTCAGTTTCTTAAATGTTGTAAGAATGCATAAAGCTAATTACTATGATCAGATACTGGGGTTTTGCAGTGACATCATCTATATTCTGTCATCTTTAACACAGACGCCGAATAAAGAGTTGATAATCAACCATTACAGTGAAATGGCTCAATTTCTTGAATTATAGTATGTTGTTGAAAGGCAGTAACCTCTCCCTGGCTCCCTTTTTTATTCCAGATTATTCTTTGGACGACTATAAAAGCTGTACGCAGTCAGGCCTTAAGGTTGGGGCCAACATATACGGTGTTTATGTGGCGGTGGGGTTTCATGGTGGATCCTGTGATGGCGTGCTGAACGAGATAGGAGGTGAGGTTACACGTTTTACAAAATGGCCTGCAGGTTATGTTCTGTTTAACGTCAGACACTGATGCTAAAACTCTGAAGTCACTTGGTCTCTCCCCAGAGGACACAGTGCATGGCAGCATGGTGGAGGACTTTGTGTCTGTTGTAAGGGGGGGAAGTAGTGAGTCCATCACTGCTTTGGTGTCTAAAAAGCTTCCCACCCCGCAGCTGATGGGGCTCTGGGGCGAAGGCGTGCGATTTAACCCTGACTTCATTCGCAAAACAGTGAGTTTCTCCGTCTGTCGCTTAATCTCGTGCTTTTCTTCTCAATTTTTTCTCCCTTTTCTTGTCGATTTCTGTTTTCATTCATAATACCTGCTATAATCCCATTCATAATTCTCTCTTATCTATGCATTTCCTGTCTCCCACAATCTCTTGTGACATTAACATAATTAATACCACTTTTTCATCTTCCTTTATCTTTCTTATCTTAATTTGCTGCAGTAATAATACTGGAGTTTGATCTGACTTATTGACGCAAAACATTTACAAAGAGTACTAAGAGTTGGTCAGTGTTGGTACCATTACAAAAATGGAAGTACAGCTAGGCTGATTAATAGCAAGTTGGAGAACAAACAGCAACTGTGCCAAATACAAATAGGCTCAAGTTTCATCCCTGGTGGGTCTTTTCAGTTGGCTCTATCAAAAGAGAATTAGATTTGAAGAGTACAAAGATGGTTTAGTGCTGACATTTGTTTCTCATTAGACACGGCCGCTGTATGAGCTGGTGATCTCCAGAGACTTCTCCCATGATGCCACCCTGAAAAGAAACCTGAAGAGAGCGCTTTCAGAGTACCTGGCAGAGGCTAGTTCGTGTCGATGTGCTCCGTGCCACAACAACGGAGTGGCCGTTTTGAGAGGTATACCTCAGAGGACATCATTATGTGGTGTTCATGACAAATGTATTTAATTTATTTAATCTATTTTCACCCCATCATCACCCCATAAAGGGATGACAAAGGAAGCCAGTAACACCAACAATCTTTAGATTTGGTTCCCAAACACAATATAATGTTTACAGTGGTGGTAACGATAGTGATAATGACATATCTTCATCTCCCTCAACAGGCACCAGGTGTGACTGTGTGTGTCCTGTTGGCTACTCTGGACGGGGCTGTGAGATCACTAATAGGCGGAAAGGTAAGCTCTAAAAATACGTGTTTTTTCTTTCATTGCACAAACACATCTTGACATAATAATATGAGAACTGACAAGGCCACTTCTGACAGATATAACCATTGATGGCAGCTGGAACTGCTGGGGTGCATGGTCATCCTGCAGTGCAAGAACAATGACGAGGAGTCGACAGTGTAACAACCCAGCACCCAGCGAAGGAGGCGTGGCATGCAGAGGACTGCAGCAAGAGTCTACTGAATGCTTTTAATATCTGCTCAACAGCCCTGTTTTCAACCTTGATATAAAGATTCATAAAAACTCTCCTGAAAATAAAAGTTTGGTCTGTGGTGTCTTTAGACTCATAGTGTGACACAAGGAATCAGAAACAGACTTGACCTGACTAACTGTCCTAACTAGACCTGCCTGAAGCACTGACCTGGATTCAGCGTCTGCAACCCGAATTTAACCTTCACATTCAAGGCGATTTAGTAAATCTCATACAAAGCATCTACAGTTTTACTCTTCAGACAGAAAAACACACACTTTAGTAAAGTCTGCATCACACATTTATTACAACCTTGCTATACAGTGTGTTGTGTGTCCTGATGAAGGCATTCATTTTATTTTGAAGTCAGACAGTAAAGGATAGTGGAAGAGCAGTTTTTAGTCATTAAAAAACACTTGGATTATGCTCACTTAGCGCTCAACAGCATTTTCACCCTGGAACCGGAGTGACTTTAACAGCGTCGAATCTGAGAGGTGGAGCCCAAGCAGGTTGTTCCACCGCCATCAGGTGCAGGATTATCACAGGTTCTTGTCCGAGTCTTCCTCCCTGATGCACAGGATGACCAGCTGCCCCAGCATGACCATGACCCATCTGTCTTGGTATCTGTCCAGGAAAAATGAAGGGGGTTTTAAGCTGAGTTTAACAAACATGTATATGTATATGTAGAAACAGCATACAGTATGTCTGTGCACTGTCATTACTCAATCACATCCTCTGACAAACAAGTGAAACAGGCAGCCGATCAATCGCAAAATGAAGAATGGCTGGATGTTCATTTTTGGGGATTTTTATACTGAACATAATGTAAAATGATTTATAATTAAGGTGTAGTATAATACATTTAGTTATTTATGTGTACACATATTTAACTGAATTATAAAAGCCAAAATTGCTTATTAGAGAGCCGTTTGGGAGCAGAAAGAGCCGGCTCTTATTGGTGAGCTGAGACAAATGAGCTTCTTGTCAGCGGTGAGAAGTAACAAAGTACTTTCACTCAAGTATAATTTTGAGGAACTGGTGCTTTACCTGCCTGCAACATTATGAATTACTACAAAGAGATCATTTTTGAAAAACAGATTTGGGGCCTAAGACAAGGGACGGTTAGCTTAGTTTAGCACAAAGACTTGAAACAGGAAGAAAGAGCTTTATCCCAGCAAATTGAATGTGTTCACCTCCGCTGCCTTTACTCGTGACAAAAGTCTCACCTCTTCGGAGAGTCTCTCCACAGGCCTCTCCATGGTAGCCTAACTTACAGATGCAATTACAGGAAGTCCCCTTTAGGACAGGGATGCCGTTGTGCTTGCAGGGGGCGCAGCGACAGGAGTCGAACTGCTGCTGATACTCATCCCAGCCCCTCTCCAAGTTGGCCAGTCTTGCACCTACATGGTCAGCTGCTGTGCTGAGGCGCACTAGCTCATAAATTGGCATGGTCTTTGTCACGAGGGAGGTAGGACAGAGACAGGAAGAGGGAAACAAGTTAATACCACACCAGCAAATGCACAAAAGCACTGCAAGGTCATAAATCGAGAATATAAATATCAACTTGTGTTTTTTTTTTTTAGTAAGAGGATGTTGTGTCAAACTATTTTCCAACAAGTCACCTCATATTCGATGAGTGTTGGGTTGTATTTGAGGGACGCTCCCCAGTTCCTGTAGGTGTCGGGGCTCCTGATAACCAACAGGCCACCGCTGCTGTGTGTGACTCCCCCCTTCACTATAGTAACGATGTCCTCAATCACAGCTGAATGAGAGTTCTTGGCTACATTTCAAAAGAAAAAACAATTACAAGCTCTGATAACACATGACTGCAACAATCCTTCACTTTTCAGCTGAATGGATCTAAGACTAATAAAGCTAATAAACTTAAATTCAGTACTCAATAGATTTTGATGTCTCACTTTGACTAAATGATCCGTCCTTATTGCAAAGGTTCCCGCCCACTTTGAGTTCTGCTTTTACAACGCTGGAGAGGGGATAGCTCAAACCAATAGATGCACCAAAGCATCTACCAGCTTGTTTAGCATCTATCTCTGTGAGAGTTATGGAAGAGAAGTGAACAAAGGTTACCTTACATTACATTTCCTATCAGATGACATTGATCAACAAACTGGAAAGCACACAGTACTTGATTCTGCCATAGCCGTTTTGTTGACAACCACAACATATTCAAGGGTTCCTCCCATTGTTCCCTCTGTGACATAGTCGGTGCCAAATGTGTTGAAGAAGCGGGAGTACGTCCCAAAATCATACTGCTCCGGCAGCTCCATGAGTGAAACGTAGAAATCTTCATGAAGCATCAACTTATTACTTCTCATTTTGAAGCGGGCTGTTTGCACTTTGGACCAGAGCCTGACGAACCCTAGGTCCTGAAGACAAAAAGGCAAGTCTTTTTTTTCCTCAGAAGTAGAAATAATGATAATAAAAATACTTTAGTCAAACTTAAAGTTAGAATAAAACTGTTACATATACCCCAAAGAATGTCCTTTCTTTTGGCAGACACCCATACATAAACATTGTTTAAAGGAGTTCATTACTGTGGGTAATACACATATTTGCTCACCCTCATATTACTGTTTAATATTAAGCTAAGTTCGGAGACTGATAGCTTAGGTTAGCATAAAGACTGAAAACGAGGGAAACCATGGATGCATAAGGAGAACTGGATACAGTGTTGGAGGTTGGGCCCCGTTTCTTTCCTATGACTTGCTCAGTGGGACATGAAGCCAAAATGGCTCAAATGCCAATTTAAATTTATCGCGATCTTCCTCATCTACGGGGCCCATAAAGTAGGCGCACTAGCGTTTCCTTTAACCCGGCCTCCCAACTGCTCGGTCTTGGATCGCTCATATGAATTACAGTATGTTATACCCAGGGAAAGAACTCTGGATTCAGCTATTAGTGGATTTTGTAACTTTTAGACCCTATTGATTTGAATAAGGGCAAGGAAGTTAAAAATGTTTCTTTCCCAATGTAAGTCTATGGGAAAAAAATAATTTTGGATCCCATGGCATTATGAGATGGATCCAGGAGTTGTAATTACAAAACAATCCATCTACCGGTTTCCTAATAACCTAGTAAAATATATCTGGTTGGTTTAGTCTGTACAAAAAAGGTGCTGGTAGGCAGATTTTGTTACCTTTGGACTGAGCCGGGCTTGCTGTTTCCCTCTCTTTAGTCTTTATGGTAAGCTAAGCCAACCGGCTGCTGGCTGTCGCTTCATATATACAGTAATCGTCATGAGAGTAGTTTCAATCTTCTTGTCTAACTCTTGGCAAGAAGGCAAACAAGCATATTTTCCAAAATGCCAAACAATTGCTTTAAAAAACAACAAAAAACACTAACCTCTGAAAAATGTATAATTATATATTTAATACAAATTGCACTTGTTATCATGTAGTAAGATAGTTCAGTTGTTTGGATCAATAAATCATACCTGGCTTTTATGTTGCGTTAGGTTCTTGAGAAACATGGATTCAGCACTTGTATTCAGCCCCACTTCCACAAAAGAGATTTGAAGTGAGACACCGCCACTGGAAGATCTCATCGTTTTCCTGGCTTCCAGCATGCTCACCATATCTTCAAAGTATTCCTGTGAGCCCTCTGACGTAGCTTGAGCCTGTAACAGGTCAAATCAGGTCAAAATGTCTTAAACAGCCCATTTATTGAATTAAACAAAGACATAAGTAACAGCATGACAATACCACAAAATGGAAGGTATGGTAGTTGTGAGGTTTCCTGTAGTTCTTCTCATCTTCATTGTAGTGCAGGTTCTCACAGAATGCGTCATAGATGAATTTCCTCCATTCACCATTATAGACATATTCACACTTTCCTCCAAAATAATTTGGGTCAAGTACTTGATCCGCAAAGTCTCCAGTCAAGACGTTGTAGCTATGGCAAAGTAAAATAATTCAATTTAAGTGAAGGTATGAATATTAAATGAGACACGTAAATCAAAAGAAATAATGGTGTGATTTGTATATATTTCTGATGTTTCAAAGCAATTTGCTAGGCAAAAAATAGTGATTATGGTGTGCTGATGACGTATATGCTTATTGAACTGTCCTGGTAATTCAATTGCATTGCTTTTAAAAGCTGTATTTACCCCTGGGTGCCGCGTTCAGCACCAGGGATCGTCAGTAAGGTGGAACACTTATCGTCTCTCTGGGTGACGTCTTCACAGACCTCTTCGTCAGAAAAATCCTCACAGTCCGACTCTCCATTACAGCGAAGGGACTGGCTGATGCAGCGCCCTGGATAGACAGAGAGACAGATTTACATGTATACTGGAGGCGCACAGACAACACAGCCTCAGCTCTAAGAGAATGTGCTGTGTGAACGGTCGTTGGTGGGACTCGCCTGTTTGTTTGCAGGTGAAGCTGTCTCCACAGTAATCTGTCACCAGACACTGTGTTGTTACTGTTGGACATGCCAGCTTCTCCCACAGTGCCTCAATGCACTCTGTGCCACCAAACTGTGAGGGCTTCTCCATGTATCGGTAACGGCCCTAAGACAGAGTTGATAATGAGTTAGCTCTTTATATCACCCAATGAGTAGGCCAGTGCTGTGATGTTCATAGTGGTGCAGTTAAAATCATATTAATGCAATAAATGTTCATTTCTAAGTTTCATTTAAGTATGCTACCTTTGATATTTAGTGTCTACAATGAACCCCAAAACACTAAACGAGTTGAGTATTTTGGAGACCACAAATGTCAGGAATGTTGTAAAACCAAGGACCACCCTTAGTGACCTAATCGGAGCAGAAGTGCTGATTCGTGATAATCATTGTTCCTTTCGAACCGATTGATTATCTTGTTTTGATCTGAGCTTACACCCAGAAAACTGTCTTGTTTTTGGAGAGAGTTCTAGTTTTAGAAGTTGTAATCACAGTTTTCATCCAACATCTTTAAATTCATGCAATGTCTTGAGAAAAAAACACCCTTACCTTTTGGTCTGTGCAGGAGTTACAGGGTGTCCAAGGTGACCAGGTCCCCAGCTTACAGTCGATGGGTTTCGGTCTGTTTACAGCTCTGGCCCTCCTCATCCCAGCCACACTGGCAACCCGAAACGTACATTATCATCTCAGTTTCTCTCCTAATACGCATGGTGCATGACATAGACATTAAATGTTATCAAGTGTATCTGAGAGACATTGAAGCAAGGAATACTTCACCTGTCGTCAGCGGTTGTCCGTGGGCTCCTGTATGCATTCACAAGTGGGATAAAGTTCACAGACAGAAGCAGTGTGCATAAAGTCAGAAGTAAATTAATAAGTGTCTCCATACTGAAAAATTAGTTGCTAGTCCTTTGGATTAAAATGCAAAAACAGCCGTTGTGTTGTGACTTCTACCACTGCAGTCTTGACCAATAACGACTGTGAATGATTGATCAAGAGTAAACACATGCTGTTACAACAGTTCGGAAAGTTTTTTTTTAATGATCAATAACCCCCATTTGTCATCTTCCCTCTGCAAACACTCCAATCCAGCATGAACATTCGCCCGTACGTTTAATGCAACACTAACAAAAGTACATCAAACTGAACAGGAACACAAACATTCCCCTTCTTACAATATATCTACATTGAGTTGATCCATTTTATTATCCCAAATATTATTATTATTATTATTATTATTATGATTATCATTATTACCATTATTATCATCATTATTATTGTTATTATTATTATAGCAAAGATAATAATACCTATCCACATACAAACCGGCTTCCGCCGCTTCTGATTTGACAATTACGCATCATGAACGCGCACGTCGTGAGGTCACGCGTAGCACACAGGTGCGTCTGGTTCGCGTCTCGCGGCGGCGCTTTCAAATTGTTTGTTTTAGCATAAACAGTGTGTTGGATTCATCACGCCAAAAATGTATCACCGCAGCCAGCAGCGTCCGCACAGTTAAGACCGCGTCCCAAATATACCAAGCTGAACAGTGATGAACAAAACGAGCGACAATGGAAGAGGTGAGTTTTAAAGATATTGTTCTGAACGTTATAGCTACATGTAGGTAATGTTAGCCTTCCTGTTGCGCACTTTGCTAGCTGTTACCCCATGTGTAACATACTAAAGTGCATTAAAGGGTCACTTCATACAACATACTTTCTTGTAATGCTAGTCATGCAGGTAGTTTAGGTTTTCACATGTCTATCTCTGAGCTATCTGCCTCCACCTCATAATAATTTAATTTGTTTTGTGTTGCTCACAGTATTGAAAAATGACACATAAACAAATTCAGTAGCATCATATTTTCTGAAAAACACTGTTATTGTGGATAACCCTTGGACCTAAATATTAAGAGTCAACTGTGTGCAATGTGGACTAACAGTTATTCTCATTTATTAATTTGTATATATTGTTCATAAAATGCAAAAAAAAAAATACCCATCATGATTCCCCAAAAGCCCAAGCTGCCTTCACATGTCTTGTTTTGTCCACTTAACGGTTCAAACTTTGAACACATTCAGTTTACAATCGTAGACTAAAATGAAACCAGCTGATAAAGTGGAACACAACATTCTAAATCGAGATCATTAAAACAACTTATTATTGAAGCTGTACTCCAGACAAGACAAATTCACCACTAATGTATTGGAGTGAGTGAGGAAATGCTTCTTGTAATTTTGGTAAACCAACCCTCTAATTATGTTGTCAGCATTGAGGTTTGTCTCCTTTTTTAATTATCAAGTGAATTGTCAATGAGAGTAATATCATTTCCTCTTTTCATTGGAGGGACTGAGCAACTTCAAAGCTCTGAGGGCCAAATTTCAGGAAGAGGCCCTCTTGGCTCAATCCAAAACCAGCCGGCCAGCTGTTTCAGAGAAACCGAAACACCTTCTTCCTCCTGGAAGTCACAGCAGCTCCGTGGTCAGCGGTATTAATATTGTCGTAGAAAACAAGACGGTGGTTGTTCCCCAGGTCACCTTCAGAGATGGGCTGCGGGCATCTGGAGGCAAGCGACCAATTTCCTTTCCGCCGCAACCTCAGCACACCTCCCCCCCATCTCGGCCAGCTCATGGAGACGGCACAACGAGGCAGTCCTACAAAGACAGACGCATGCCTCTGGTGCTTCCTGTCCTGCCTGTAAAAGACCAGAAGACGGAGCCGCAAGCCAAAAAGGAGCACAAACTGGAACCGGAGGCGTGGAGAGAAGTCCTGCCGCACACTAAAATCAAGAAGAAAGGTTTGCTGCTTCCTTTCAAGTCAGCCAAAGCGCCAAAGGTCAGTGCAGAAAACGGAGAGGAGCCGACGTATGCCGATTTGACCACCAGGCCTTCTAGCGCCCCCGGTGGGTCGGTGGAAAAACAAACCGCAGAAGATGGGGCTTCGCTCCAAAGTGACCAATCGACTGCTGAGCTCTCCCTCTCCAGCCTCGATATCACCCCTCCTCCCGCAGAGACGAGTGTCGATTCCAACAACAAATTTATTAGCACCTTGGAGAGAGCCAAGAAGAGGTTTTCACGCCGGCAGATGTTGATCTCTGCCAAAACGAAGAGCTTGCGTACTCCTGACTACGTCTCGAGAGACGAGGCGTTGCCTTTGCCGCTGAAGCGTGTCGGTGTACCCGAGCTACCCGTTCCCTTGCCGGTCTGTCTCCCACACATTGCCTGTCTGTCGGCCCGGCCTTTCTTCAAAGTAGACCACTCTTCACGCAGTAAGTCATATTCAGTGATGAGCATGATGTTCTCCACATCAGACTATCTTCTAATGCTTTATTGTATTTTCCGATGACTAGGGCCTGCGCTGGATAAGCAGTTCGGCAGGGATAAATTTCTTCCCTCTGTCAGGACCGGTGAACCTCAATCTCCCTCTGCTTCTGGAAGGAAGAGGCCTCTACCTGACTTGAGGACACTGGGGCCAATCCCACCAAAGCCCCCCAGACCTCCACTAGTAGATCTCAGCTGTTACCACCGACCCACAGTTAACAGTATGTTGGCTTACTTTAATTTCGTGTTTCTTTTTTGTTTTCCATTTACTTTTGTGGCCGCAGACTGAGGAATATGTACGGCAAGAAGTTGTGTTTTACTTGGACATCATTCTACTTATTTGTGGTTAGGTTGAACATCTGTTCAAGTGCTGATTTTTGTTTTTTTATTATAGAGGTGTCGCCAGGTCTTAGCCAAGCACCAAGCGTAGAGCCAGAGGCTGAGCAGCCATCCGTCTCCCTCTCTGCTCTAGACGCTCCAGAGTTTCCAGACTTTGAGAATCCGGAGATGGGAACGGCCCACAGTGAAGCTGTTAACATTGGTGCGCTGGAGCTGGAGGCCTTTGGCTTAGTCGGCACTGACCTTCCTCTACCAGAGGACTACGGGCTCTTCGGTTGCGAGGATCCACAACCGGACTTATCGGTGTGTGATCCTTTAGAGTCCTGTATGAGCGTCGGCGTCCAAGATCTGAACCTTGGCAGTCACAACATAATACCCCTCGATCCAGCCAGCTTCCCTGAACCAATAAACTTCTCAGCTTTCCCAGAGCCTGCTGTGTCAGAGCAGTGGTCTCAGGGTGAGGAGGTGATCACAGATCCTCTCTCTAGCACTCAGGCTGATGAGACTGATCCGGGAGATGCTGAGTCTCACTCTGCCTCACAGGAAATGGACTACGCACCGTTGCGTGATGGGATTCAATCACATGCGAGGTGAGGTTTGCCCTAAGTTAAAATCACACTCTGATCCATTTTCTTTTTTTTTTTTTTGCACGTTTCACTGTTGACGTGACGTTTCCTGTGTGTGCACTCTGATCGTCTGTTCCCCTCTAGCGTATCTCAACAGGACAGTTACTACGAAGCGCACGATAATGTGTACGAGGATGTCGAGAATCCCAACAAATTATTCTCGGGCCAGAACTCGCGTAAGCGAAAAGGTGGTCTGAAGAGTAAGAATGCTGACTCGGCACATGTTTCTTCTTGATAAAGATCTTTAGCAGAGTTTTCCCTGTTTTAACCTCCTCGTTGACCAATTTTACAGATCCATATGCTGACAACCAACATATGGTAAATGCATGTATATTTCTTTTAATTATGTATAATCCTTAGTTCAGTACGCAGTAAGAGAACGGTTGAGTTTATGGTCAGAGACGGGCCCTGTGCGACGAAGAAACAATGGGCTTTGTTGTGTTTAACAATCTGTGATCAATTAAAACTCATCTGTTTATTTGAAGGAGGAGTTGTCTCTTCACATTTGGCCGCGGAATCCGTGGTATGTAACATACAAGTCATGTTATTTATCAATGACTTTGGTCTTTGTCAGATGGAAGGCATCCATTGATTTTTTTTTTTTTTTTTTTTTTTTTTTCTCTCTCTCTTTTGCTGTGGTAATCACACTACAGGGGCAGTGTATCGGCAGAACATTCGGGCCATTATCACGTCCACAGGTATGTTGGGCGTCTCCCACAGCTGGCCAAACGCTTGTTTTGCTGTTTTCACATTGAAAATAGCTTTTGTTATTTCTTATTCAAGTTATTTTGTTTACCATCATATGGTTCCATTTACATTTAACACTTAACGGTCTGATTTGTTTTCAGTAAAGAACGCCAAAGTCCTAACAATGCTGACCTTAAAGAACAGAAGAAGAGAGAAAAGCAGCGACTGGAAAAGGAGAAAAAAGAGCAAAAAGAAAGGGAGAAGAAGGAAAATGAAATGAAAAAGAAGTTCAAAGTAAGTTCTGCTTTTGAGAGGCCTGTTATGGTCTTTTCTTTTAGCTTCACTGGTCGACTTGTTTGAAAATTGCTTGCCAACATAACATCCCGGATATCTCGGTGTCACGATGGTCGGTGAAAAACAGCAAACCAATGCACTGCTTAGCGGCTCTGAAATCAACCTGCGCCTCATTACTGAAATGTGACTCTCCAGGTGACCGGCGAGGAGGAGGCCATGTACCACGCCAAGGTGACGGTGGCGAGCAAGGTTCGCAAGCATGACCTGCCGGTGAAGAGCGGGGACACGGTCGGCATCATTCGCACCACCAACTGCCCCAAAGGCAGATGGTTGGCCCGAGACGCCAACCACAAGTGTGAGTTCAGACGCACAACATCTCGTCACATAGAAGTAATGGGAGTGGTTAACGGGGGTATTTTCTTTTTCACATTGACGCCACAGTTTCTCAGTGTTTTCAGTAACTGCTCCGTCATTGGTTTCGCAGACGGTTACATTTCAGTGATGAACGTAGAACTAAATATCAAAGAGATGCTGGAACTTGGCAAGAAGGCCCAAGCAGCTGGACGAGGAGGCAACCTGGAGGGAGATACCATCAGCATCGGGAGCAGGTACTCATCTAAATGCTTTGGTTTCTCAATAACAGAATGATTTGTAAGCAGCACTCGCCTGTCTGTCTGCCTGTCATGATCACTCGTTCATTAAGGTTTTCTTTGTTTTGCAGATCCTCTAACCACCCTGTACTAACGAGCAGTTGTAAGTGCCAGTATTCTCTCCACAAATGCATTGATCTCTTTGGTTAACTTGCTTTCAGACTGGTTGCACTGTCACCTCTTAGCCCAACATCTCAAACAGCAGCCCAGCCTCATAGTTAACTGGTTGATATGAAGTGTGACTTGATGACAGAGAACAGTTGCACAGAGGTTGAATACTAGCCCAAAGACTCGTAATGCTTGGCCTGAATAACTAAAGTTGTCGTCGTCCGCTTCACAGCCTGGTGATATTTTCTGATTGTGAAGGCAGTCCATGTGAGCCGGTGGTTTGAGTTCCTACCCTGCCAAACATCTATCATCAGCAAGCCCACTGTGCTTAATCAAACTAATGTGTTTTTCCACAGTCACAGATGACAGTGAAGAGTGGGCCTGTGAAGATGAGACCCTCTCGCCCTCCAGTGAAAGCCAGTAAGTGCTGTCCTTTTTACTCTGGCTTAGAGTTGTCTCCAAACCGGTGTTGTTTCTAGGAAGAATGACAGAAACCGTTGACCACGTCCGAGTACGTACAAGTCGTCACACCTTCTCAAAGATGTGATTGACACGCAGTGTGTAGGACGTAACTGTTTGTCTTTCTCTTCTTTCTGTGTAGTAGCTGTCCCCATCAGACGGCCTCACTGCCCGAGATGTGTAAGTGTATTTTTACATCCGGTGAAAACATGAGAACAGAACATGGTGCCCCCCCCCCCCGCTTCTCAGCCTTCTGGCTTAAAGGGAAATGCCAGCTCTGCCTGTGGTTGCTTTATGTGATGCTTTGACATATGGCAGACTGTAAAATGCCTTTGATGTGCACTTCTACCATGCCGCTTCCTTACTCCCTCCCTCTTCTGTTAAACTGTCGTTCCCCCCCCCCCCTCTGCCCTTCATGTGCTCACTTCAACAGTATGTGGCCATGTCAGCGCCCTGCACACTCTGAGCGATGCCAACCTGGAAGACCTACACACGCAGTAAGTTTCAAAGCGGAATCCTCGGCTCGCTAACCCATATGTACATAAATCTTTCTACATCTACCTCTTCTCGAGGCGCTGAGTGTGTAGCATGTGATGCGTGTGCATACCGATATATTTCTTCGTGAGTAAGTGAATATTAAACATTGGAAAGAAGAAAAATGAAGTGGGGAGCTAAAGACATTGGAAACGTTATACATCGGCCCTGATGTTTTAGGGATTGGTCCAGGTGTCCTCTACTGTGTGGTTACAGTAGAGACCAAAGACAACAGATCATACACACCAAACTAGAGCTGCAGCTAACGACTGTGTTGAAGTAAAAAATAAAATCCAGATTTTCTCAATTCATCTTTTGTGAAATGTCAAATATTGAAAAACCCTCGTTTTAATTTCCCAGAACTCAAGGTGAGGTATTCAAATAGCTTGTTTTGTTCGACCAGCAGTCTGAATCCCAAAGATTGGAAACATCGTTTTTGATTAAGTGGCCATTTTAACGGCAAGTGCATCTTCATCAGAGTGACTTGGCGTTGAAACATTAGTACTCCAATTAAGTTTGTTGCCTTAAATCTGTGTGCTTCAGTATAGTGTGGGCTAAAGTCTCACCTGTTAGAGGTTCTGAGGGCAAAGGACAGGCCTGTTGAAGCATGTTAGACCTCTTCGTTCACTTAGTAAAGGTTGTATTTATTTCAGGATTACTCTATTGGATCATAATATATTGTGTAGGTGCTCCTCGCCCCCTGTAGGCCACTGATTAGTGTGAAAAGTAATAGTTCTCGGAGTAAAAGGAGTCCTAACGGTGTCTTGTCTTCAATATTTAGGACCAGACACGAGGCCCTGCAGAAACTCGCCATCTTCTTTCAGCACCGCAAAGAGGAATTAGATAACATCCCAGATGGCGGCGGAGCAACCCCTACGAAGTACAGTTTACTGTTTTATCTTATGTCTACCGATGCTGTCATATTCAAAATCTGTAATCAACGACCATGGTAATGATTATAAAAACTTTTTTTCTTCATTTTATCCATTCTCTCCGATGCAAAGTGCTGAGCCATCAAGTGAGTTTACTGATTTTGTTTTCCACTGTTGTCACCACTGTTGTCACTCTCACTGATAATGGTGACGCTGAGAGGACTCTTGCAGATCTCCTTTAAAGACTCTACAGTCAGGTCGGCGTCTTGCCTGTAATGGAAAGTGACTCGTTGCGCCATTTATCTGACTCCTGTCAGATTGCAGAGACGGTTCAAAGCTAATGTGACATTTGTATCTGCTCGTCTTTATCCAGACTTCTTGTGTGGCGTTGAGGAGCCTCCGTACCTGTAAGTGTTAACATGTTTCCTTGTGATCAACAAGTGAAGCTTGCCTCCGTTTCGATCTCTATTGATATTAGTACTCATAGACCGAACACGTAGTACTTCAGGTTGTCTAGCTTCCTCCTCCTGAACTGTGATGTGATGTTTTGTGACAGTGAACAGGAGTTTGACTTCACAGAGCTGGAACTGCTTCCTCCCCCGCCGCTATATGCCGACTTCTTCTGATTACCACACCGGCTGAAGGGAGTAACGTCGCCATGAAGGATATCTGCCACCGAGACCAGTCTGCCATGTAGTTAAAGTGTTTTCTGATCCTGGTGCAGTGGAGAAAAGAGACGATTGTGAATGGAGCTGCGGATGTGACAACTATAATTACTGTTTCACTTATTATATTTCACATTGTGTTCTACGCTCTTGTGTTCTCTGATGTTACTCTTAGTGGAGCACAAACTGAATCATTGCACTTAATCCAAAGAGCGATGACATAAAGTAGTCACCGGTCACTTGTAAAGCTTACAATTAAGGATTTGGTTGTAAATGTTTTCTTTGCCTTTTCTTTTTCTCTTGTTTCTGTGTTGCATCTAATAAATATTTGTTCATAATTTTTGTTTTTGATGACATTATTAGAACAGACTACTGTCACAATCATGTCTAAATCGTAGTTCTTGTAGCGCTACAGCAGTTCACTCCTGATGTAAGTACAATCCTTCCTCTTATCAGCACTTCACTCTCACCTGATACTTTGTCAAAGTGGCATATATGAGCCCTGCTCCATCTCCATCATGTTGTTAAAAATGTCATCACACTTTAATGTTTTCATGTTACACTTAGTCTGTATTACATCATTTGTTGTAGACTAATATAAAACTTCTGTATAGAGAAAATGAGTACTCAATAAAATGGACTTAACCACGTATATGTACACTTTGCGCCTATTACTGGTTATTTTTTCATTATCTGGATGACTTGGCTCTGTGAGTCCCCCTCGTTACTGCTGAGGTGAGTGTGTGAGTCGGCCTGTGTGAAGGAGCATATGGCATTAATTGAAGGAGGAGCTGGAGGAGTGGTCTTCTTGGAAGGCTCTCACAGGCTCCACTAGCCCTAAATAGAGGAGTTAAGAACGGTTAGAAGTTAGAAGAAAGCGGGCCGTGATTGTTAGAAGGCAGGAACTAGTGATTACATCTCAAGTGAGCGCGTTTTCTGCACAGCAGACGCATTAGTTTAGACCTGCATGACGACGACTCCTTTAGGATCCAAGTAGAGCCGCTAGCCAAATAAAATAAAGTAAACGCACTGCGATAGCTTTGTAACCAGACTTCTTTATTCCCTTTTTATTTGAACCACGTAACGCGTTTTTTAAATGCAACGTTTGATATATGAGAAGACGATGGCAGCGGAGACGAAGAACGGCGGGAGTTCAGCGAACATTAAAGACCACAGCAGGAGAAAGTTACTGGTCGGAGTGGATCTCTTCTGCTTGTTTCTAGGTAAGAGACCCACTGAGTGCTAATGACCGTCATCTAAAACACGTGTGGTGCTTTATGCATGTATGACGGGTATTAGTCAGAGGACGTTTGGCCTTTTTGAGTCTCAATATTGATACTTTGTAATATCATTTTTAAGTTGAAAGTTACAGGACTCGAAGCGTGTTCACGTTTGCCAACATGTTTCAGCTAGCATTACATCAGCTGTGTGTACCTATAGCAACAAGTGATGCCCCGTTAGCAGCTGTAGCCCACACGTTTAGCTGTAACTGCTATTCAGCTACATTGTTTCCAAAAATACATTAAGCTGGTGTGTAAGCTGGTGGAAATATGATTTTCTCAGCCACCACCCCTAAAAAAAAAAAACAGTGCTGGCAGAGGGGAAACTAATGAATTGCTCCTGGTGGGATGTATTTCTTTTGGTTTCCTCAGCCACACCTGTACTGCACCTCTGCTTTGACTCCTTATATTTTCCAGAATGGCTCACATTCCACACCAGCAGGAATTCCCTTGATCTCAACAGCTGGCATAATATTTATATATGTATATGAATGTGTGTAGTAATTAAGGGAAGTGGTGAAAAGGTCAGACCTTTGTGTGTGTGTGTGTGCGTGTGTTCATCAGCACATGTCCTGTGATGTTTAACAGCTGCACATACTCTGTTAAGGTTGTCAATCATTATTTTTACACTGAAGTTTAAACCCAAAAGGTCTTCCTGTCCTTCGGCTTAAACCTTTTGACCCTTCACTATTTTCCCTCGTGCATTTCCGGTGTGTTGGAGCGTTAGTGGAAGAACATGATCGCAAACGGCAAAGCACTGTTCCAAATATAACACACAATTGTTGCAACTGCACGGGGGAAGCACCAGACCAGCTATTGTTAAAACAATCCCATGAAAGGTCTACAGCATAAATAGCTTTTTCACACCAACTATATTTAGTTCAAGTCTGGTTTTGTCTCTATGTAGAGGGTGAAGCCCCATGATTTGCTCTCTTTGTAACTTCCCACAGAGAAGGTTGTCAACAAACCAGCAGGGTTTTTTTTTTCTGGATGAAGATGTGGTTTAAAGAGACCAACCACAAGGAGGAAATGTACTGGTAATCACCATTCCTCCCATTCTCACACGCTGATTGCAGTTCAGTATAACTGCATCCAGGGATGTCTCACTCCTGCTCTCTGTGATGCCACTAGATCCAGCAGTCACGACAATATAGAGGATTCAGTGGTTGGTTAGAACTAAATCCTGACAGATATTGCCGAGGGAAGCATGAGGCCGCTATTTAATATTTTGCTTTAATCTTGACGAGGCGATCAAGTTCAGTTTACATTAAGCCGTAGCAGGTGGCTTTCATGTTTTCCAGTTAATCGTCTTACAGTGTAATGTTTTTGCGTGCTTTGTCCTGATTCAGCACGAGGTAAAAGGTGGTTAATCAGCTACAATTGCGTCTTTTTTTTCTGTTTCAGTTTAGTGTGTGTAAGTACAAAATGAAGATTCAGTTGAACTTCGAGCACTGAAAGGAGTTGAAGTGGTAAATTCAGCTGGAAGCATCTGTTTTAATTGAAGTGCTGCCCAATTAGAACAGCCAACATGGACCCTTAGATTGTTTTTCATTGTTTTGAGTCAAGAAGTTAAATCACAGACAGTTAAAAATGTGACTGGGCCATTAGTCTCACTTTAAGGAATGGTCAAATACAGCAGTATAGACATTTAAACTTGTCACACTCAACAACTAACCAAAATAAAAACAAAGACAGAAGACTCATATGGGACACATTTTATCAGGCGTTGATATGAGAAGACAGAGGTCCACAGTGATATGTTTGAAATGCTTAAATTGAGTTAACCTTAAAATGTTAATTTACGTGTGTAAATGTTTGCTTGTACTTTAAAAGTGACATTGCTGTCTATGATTTATTTATGTTTGCAGGGACATGTATTGTTTGTGCCAATCTATTGTCAGCATTACCTTTTTCTTGTTTTTGTGTGTTTTGTATGAATAAAGCAGGAACAGACATGTAACCTGCTTTGTGTGTAATACAAATGTGAATAATAAATACAGCAGAAGAAAAGCAGCTGTTACAGCCACTAGCAATTCAACACAAATGCGTTTTTATTTAACCCAAGCAGACAGACAGGCAGACAGACAGAGGGCAGTTTGTGAGGGGGCTGCTCTAAGTAAAAACAACTGCATCTGTGTATACACCACAACTACCTCAGACATGTATGCATTTCTACGCCAGACAGTGAGAGATCCCTGCGAGTGGAAAATGTGTGTCTGTTTATTTGAATAAGTCACACTTGGTGTTTTGGCGAATGCCTCCAAAAATATGGTGGGGACTTGATTCAGCGTAAGACTTATACATTAATTCTAGTTTCAACAAACTGCAGCGTTTGCTGCCAGAGCTGAACTAGGGGAAAGGCAAATGGGCAAGCGTTGAAAAAAAGTGTGTCATGATGATACGTTTTCTCCCATATTTTGATGTGAGACAGTGCTCGGTTATGTGCTGAAAACAAAGTCATAGTCACAGTATTTGCTTATTTTCAGTTCGGGTCCCCCTGTTGATTGTTGATCAATCAAGGGGAAAATTGAAGAGAAGACGCCTGATGTTGACATTGGCAACTGAAAACTTCCATCTTGTTTGTTTCTGTTGTCTTTGGGTTGGTGTTGAGCTAATCCAAAAGTACCCATGCCTGCTGACTGGTGGTGGTGTTGTTGTTGGCCAGACAAGGACGCCCCCCCCTGCCCTCCTCCTCCTCGCCCCCTGGCTGTTAGAAGCGGGAAAGGAGGAAGGGGTTAGGAGGGGAAAATCCTGACATGCTGCGCTCAATGCTGATGCTGCACTGTCTGAGGACTGAGAGGAGAAGAAATCCCCTCCGAGTGTCTGGAAAACAGGACCCGACGGTGTCCTGTTGTGTTTTTCTTCTTCTTCTTAACCAGCCGTTTGAAGCACTTGCCCCTTGCAGGTTCCTTTTTTTAAAAGCTGTGGCCACTTTATTTCATCAATCCATTTGCCACCTCGCTGTCTCTCCATATCACTCTCTGCCTCTGGCCTTGTGGTCCCTATCAGGCCTGTGAATGTGTATAGAGGCGTTTGCAGGGGTCAGGACTCGGGGGTTAATGTGTGTCACATCCAGCACTGTCTGACGTGTGTTTAAAAAAAAAAAAGAAGATACTGTTTTGGAAAGTCCTGTGTGGTTCTGTTCATGGCCAGGCTAAGCAAACTGCAGGGATAAGACATTCAGGATTTAGGGTACTGTAAAGTACTGTATGTTTTTACGGTTACACACCGCCCCTGCTCTTTCTCTCGCCACCAGACTGATTGTAGCTCCGTCCAGGTGTTTGTTTGAAGAGCGGGAATGAAAGCTAGAAAGTTAATAACATGAATCCTGCTGAATGTGGAGGGAAGGCCAGCCTTGTGGAGTTCCCATCAGGGAGCAAAACTCCGTCTGTAACCTGAGCTCAATCCAGCTGCACCTTCAAAGGCCAAAGTCAGGTGTGTGTGTGTGTGTGTGTGTGTGTGTGTGTGTGTGTGTGTGTGTGGATGGATGTAGAGGGTTGAGGGGCTCAGCAACTCAAGCGTGTGTTGACATTTTGGCTTGAGAAATCACCACAACCATCCCGCCGTCAGCAGCTCGCAGCACTGACCTCTGCACCCTGGGTGCTTTTTAGCTCTCGAGACGGGGCGACCGGGGAAGAGAGAGTGTGTGTGAGAAAGTGAACGGCGATGTTTGTTTTCCTTTGTATCAGCAGATCACAGGATTATTCAAAGAGTGACTTGAAAGCTCTGCCGTCAGTTAAATGCCACTTTGAAGGTGATTCTGAAAGTGTTTTCCAAATTCTGTCAGAGATTTGAGGCCTCCCCTGGGTACCACGTCCACACTCAAATTTCAAAGTGCTTCATTGAAGCCTTTAGTAAATGGAGAAAATAATCTATCCTTTTTTTTAGGGGGCTTGCATCTCGGTAACACCCACTCCTTGTTTGTTTTCAGAAGATAAATAAGATCTTTTTGCCACTTTAAGTGGCGAAAGACACTAAATTGATCAGACGCAGACACCCCCCCCCCCAAGGCATCTTAAAGTGGGCCTTTTTAAGTGCACTTGAAAGCCTCTGCAGGAGCGGAAGGATGGCTCTGATACTGTTTTTGTTTTTCCTTGTCAGTTAGCAGCAACAGCCTCTTTCTTAAGAACATGACACATCCAGTCCTTTTAGCACTAACTCGGCCTCTTTTGAGATTACTCCACGCTATTCTCAGCATAAAAGGTTCACTTAAGTCTAAAACAATGATGTAGCTTTGATTTTTGGCAGGGATTCTGACACATTTTGTTTATTTTGGCTCATTTTCACATGACGGCGTCGGTGTCAGTTATGAAAACCGGATGGTCTATACATAATACATGTCTGTTGGGAGTTTTTTCAAATGTTTGTATGAATTTCTAAAATGTCCTGTCTTGTGGGCGTCTCTGTTTTTCTTCCTGTTGATGTCTATTGATGTAGCTGTGTCCACTGATGTGGTTTAAAGAGCCGTCTGACCTTTTTTGATCCTGTGTGTCCAACCATACAGTGTTGCTTGTTGCCGTGTTTTTGCACAAATGTCCCTTCCCGCCTTACCAGAGGGGATTCTTCTGCAATGACAACAGCATCGGACTGACCTATAAGGGCAGCACAGTGTCCACCACCACGCTCACAGCCGTGGGCGTCGCTGTGCCCGTGGCCTCAGTAAGTCCTGCTGTGGTACTGCAAGACAACCAGGGAACACATGTCGGGACACTCTCTCAGGTCATCCAGTGGTTAACTTGTGACACCCCAAAAGATATGATTGGTTCGACAGGCTCTGAGTCACACTCAGGGTTTTTGTGTTGTACCTCGTTAGCTGCAAATCGTGTATGCTGTGCATTAATGCCAACCATTTTCCAAAGTTACTGTGTATTACCATCAGCTGTCAGATTGATTTCCTAGGGCCAGCCATTGTGTTACATTTATTTCACTACTGTAAGCAAATGTATTAATAACTGTTAAAGTAATTTATAAGATAAAAATATCAAAGACTTGCTAAGCTCGATGGTTAACTCTTGACCTGTTAAAAAAGTGTTGTTTGTAGAGATGGAACTGCCAGTTATAATGTCAGGAAATGGAGGAAATGCCTGTGACTTGTTAATTTGAGAAGAACCAGGGAATTGATGTCATTTTTGCTAAGAAATAACACAAAATACAAACATAAAGCACAAAATCAACTTTTAAAATTGTTGCCATCATTTTCTGTAAAGTGATGTTTAGGTTCTTTTTTCTTTCCAAATTTCTGCTGCTCATTGTAATTCTGTAGTGAAATTAATAGAAACGTATGGCAGCCATAAGAGAGTCTAAAAATGTCAGGTGTGCTTTGGAAAATGGCGAGCAGTGAAAAAACACCATGTATGGCCCTTTAAGACACACACAGGTCTGGTCAAACGTTCCCACTAATGGTGAATATTGAATTATTTATGAATTAGTCACATAACAGCCACAGAATGGATTGAGCCTGTCCCAGATGTTCCCTTGTTGCAGCTTGCTCGTACCTGTGACCTCTGTAATATGCGTATCATTAACCCAGCACCTCCATCTCTCTCTCTCTCCCTCCCTCACCCCCATCCCCCTTTCTTTCTCTCTGTACTGCTCACTGCTTCTTCACACTAGCCGGCCTGCCTTTCTTGGTCATTGAGACCAGTGCTGTTCATCCTTACCATAGAGGGTTTTACTGCGATGATGAGTCCATCATGTACCCGGCCAAACACGGAGACACCATTAGCGACGGTGTGCTTAGCGCTGCTGGCATTCTAATCACCATCCTCTCTGTAAGTCACCTCACTCTGATCACTAATGTCATCATCACTCTTTTGTGTGTTTCAGCAGCCTTCACCATTACTAGCAGCACCCACTGACACCTTGTACCAGATGTTGACCTCATCATTTTTCTCATCCTCAGTGCATTGTAATATTTGTCAAAAAAGTGCTCTGTGTTTATTATAACATTTCTAACAATATATTATAATATGGAAAGGACAGAGAGATTTTAAACTGTTGAAACAAATGCAATGTGTTCGTGCTTTTCTCCAACCAATCCATGCACACCCCCACTGTCATTGTCAAGAGAAATCCCCTTGTTGCAACCTGCATTATAGGGCTTAATCTGACTGTTGACTCATTGTGGGTATAAACTGAGATTATCCTCCATGATTACACCATACCTGTGCCATCTGTCCCGCTCTTTGGCTTCACAACATTCCAGATAAAAAGCAACATTTGTTCAAGGCTTTTCTCCTCGAGGGGCTTAAAATGACTCCGTTGATTATTAAGGCACTTTAGCAAGTGAAGTGTTCTGTAGTTTGTTGCAATCTCTTTTGGGAAAACAGTGAGGATGTGTCCAAGATCTGCACACTAAACCGTCATCCACACTTATCAATTTCATTTTTATCCATTTGCCACCGTTCAGAGTTTGAAGCTTAACACTGCTTTTATAAGCTGCTGAACTAAAAAAAACTGAGGTTACAGACAATAAAATGTGAGACAATTGCAGAAAGAAAACTGTGGGATCTTGACACTCAGTATGCCTAATGTCAGTTTTACTATATTAACTATATTTCTGTAAATTACGCTAAAGCATTTTGGAATGTGGATACATCAGAAAGCAATACAGTATAATAATAATAACTTTATTGATATAGCATCTTTTTAAAATCGACAAAGCAGCAGTATTATGTTCGCAAGTGCTTTAGCTAACTACAGTAACTTGCTAGCATTAGCTCGCTAACAGCTAACTCATTATTTTTAGTTATCAGCTGCACCCCTGGCAGACATAAAGTGTTAAAATAACCCTTTGACACGTTGAAATCTTACGTTTTTAGCTACAGGAGTTTAGTTTGCGCTGTTTGTTCTCCCCTCCTGTGAGTTTTAGAGTGATGTGTTGCGCTCTTTCTCTACGCTTTTCCCTTTTGAGCAATGCGTCGGTCTACACGGCTTCATAGTGGCTAGCATTTCAGTTAGACTAAATTTGAAATGACAAGTTATTCCCTTCATGTTATTATTGCTCATCACTCCATTTCTATCTGTCTTGACTTAATCTAATTTGTAAATTGAATTGACCATTGGACCGTAACGCCTAAAACGCACAGTAGTGCCCTCCTCCTGGAGAGCAGACTGCGATACGGTCTTGGGGCCACAGGGGTTTTCATGGTGAGGAGGAGTTCTGGCCCCGTGTAATTATGGTTGACGCAATGGTTTGTTCGACTAAATGCTGTAATTGGTGGGGTGGAATTGTGGTGAAGGCCCGAAACAAGAAGGCTTTGCCAGATATCTAATTTTCCTCCTTGCAAAACGTGACCAAACAATCCATCTCCATGCTGAAGCGTTGTGGACAGCGTTTATGTTTTCTAAACCAGAAAGCACCAACATTAGTTCACTTAGTGCTTCGTTTCCCACTGAAGAGATCTTAAAAGAGGCCACATCCTTTTATAATTCATGCAGCCCTCTTTTAGAAGAAACAAAAACACCAGGGTGTGATTGTGGGAATACAAGACGTTTGACATGATCCTCAAATCATCCTTGCACCCATGATTATCTCTTGAGGTCTCAGTGTAACAGCTACACATCCTACAACGCCAATTCATTTATTCATTCACACAGTTAAATAGTTTCACACAAGGGGAACCAGATGTGTTTTCTCCCCGTTCCCTCTTTCCCATGGAAGCAGCTGGGCTCGTGCTGGCTCTAAAGGCCTGGATGGTGGAAAACAACACACTCTATCAGCTTGTTAAATCTCCGTGAGGGCTATCCCTCCGCACAGAGAGTTTCCCAGAGTGAGACTTTATTTCTGCGCCCTGCAAAAGAATGTCTGATGAAGCTAAGATACTAACATGAAAACAGCCAGAAAAACCCCCTCGTGTGAAATCGGAGCCGTTTCGGAGAAGCAGCCGGAGCAGCGAAAAATAAACGTGCCCCCGACGTGCCTGGTGGAGTCTGGCCACCAAAATCAGACACATCTCCTAGCTCAGCGTTTTCTGCTGATTAGAACCAGCGGTGATTTCCCCCCCCCC